GGAGTCCAGTTTTAAGTAAATTCTGACTGTGAATCATTTGATAAGACCAGTTTTCCAAGCAATCAATAATGGAAGTAACATCAGTATTGGGTAATTAAGAATATGTCTGGTCTGGCACAGTGGCTTATTCCTGTAATTCCAGCACTTTGGGAGGCTGAGGCGGGAGGATTGCTTGAGCCCAAGAGTGCGAGACCAGCCTGGGCAGCTACAGCTAGGTATTTGTCTTACCTGGGCATGGTCTGATGGGAAGTCTCTAGTTGTATAGCCAGTCAGCTGGTTGGTTGGTTGTGATTGGCTGGGGATTATTTTTGTCTTTCAGAGGTTCTTTTCCCCCCACAAAAAAAAAAAAAAAAAAGTTAAGTTCCAGGTTGCTTATAAGAGCTTTAACTACAAAGACAATCTCAGGCAAAATGGCTGCATTATTGTTTTTTTGAGACGGAGTCTCGCTTTGTCGCGCAGGCTGGAGTGCAGTGGTGCGATCTCGGCTCACTGCAAGCTCCGCCTGCCGGGTTCACGCCATTCTCCTGCCTCAGCCTCTCGAGTAGCCGGAACTACAGGCGCCCGCCACCACGCCCGGCTAATTTTTTGTGTTTTTCAGTAGAGACGAGGTTTCACTGTGTTAGCCAGGATGGTCTCAAATCTCCTGACCTCGTGATCCGCCCGCCTTGGCCTCCCAAAGTGCTGGGATTACAGGCGTGAGCCACCGCGCCCGGCGCATTATTGTTTTAATATCACCTACCAGCTATGTGACTTTTTGTCTGTTTTTTTTTGGGGTTTTTTTTTTTTTTTTTTTTGAGGCATGGCCTGGTTCTCTCACCCATGCTAGAGTGCAGTGGCACGGTCTCAGCTCACTGCAGCCTCCGCCTCCTGAGCTCAAACCATCCTCCCACCTCACCCTCCTGCATAGCTCGGACTACAGGCATGTGCTACCACAACTGGCTGATTTTTGTATTTTTGGTAGAGATGGGATCTCAACTACGTTGTCCAGGCTGGTCTTGAACTCCTGGGCTCAAGTGATCGGCCCCCTTCACCTCCCAAAGTGCTAGGATTGCAGGCATGAGCCATTATGCCCTGCCACTGGCTATGGGATTCTAAGAAAGTCTGTAATTTCTGTGAGCCTCAGTTTCCTGATCTATAAAATGTGATTAATATTATCGCCTATTATGGAGTGTAGCAGGGGTTAAAGGAAATAATGCCATTTAAAGTACTTGGTTCAGTGCCTCTCAAGCACCAGTTAAGTGCTTGATAGACGTTAGCTATTGTTAGATGTCTTGGAATGCTTGGAGTGTAAGGGAGAGAAAAAAGTGATAGCTAAGCTAGGTGTGGTAGTGTGAGCCTATAGTCCCAGCCATGGTCCCAGTTACTCAGGAGGTGGAGGTGGGAGGATCATTTGAACCTAGGAGTTTGAGTGCAGCCTGAGCAACATTACAAGACCCCATCTCAAAAAAAGTGATAACTGCTGTTTCTCCACTTCATTTCAGTGTCTTCTTTTCTATTTTAGACAATTTAAACAGGTTTACCTTTTTTTAAAATTTCATTTCTAAGCATAAGAATTTTGAAATTGCTTTTGATGATTTTCTGTCAGAAATGAAGAAGGTAGAGGAGATGCCACATAAACCACAGAAAGATGAAGATCTGACACAGGATTATGAAGAATGGAAAAGAAAAATTTTGGAAAATGCTGCCAATGCTCAAAAGGCTACAGCAGAGTAATTTCAGCTTCCAGACTGGTATGCATTCCAAACTGATAGTACATTGCCACCTCCAGGAAGACTTGAGAGCTTTGGGATTTTGTTTAAACTTTTATAACAAGGATCCTAAGACTATTGCCTTAATAGCAAAGCAGCCTACCCGGAGGCTAAGTCTGGGCAGTGGGCTGGTCCCTGGTGTGGGCATTAGACCAGCCACAGTGCCTGATTGGTATAACCTCATGCGCTGTCCTACAAAATGGAATTGGAGGCCGGGTGCAGTGGCTCATGCCTGTAATCCCAGCACTTTGGGAGGCCGAGGTGGGTGGAGCTCGAGACCAACCTGGCCAACGTGGTGAAATCCCGTCTCTACTAAAAATATAAAAAGTAGCCAGGTATGGTGGTACGTGCCTGTAATCCCAGCTCCTCAGTAGGCTGAGACAGGAGCATCACTTGAACCTGGGAGGCGGAGGTTGCAGTGAGCTGAGATCGCACCACCACACTCTAGCCTGGATGACAGAGCGAGACTTATCTCAAAATAAATAAATAAATAAATGGAATTGGAGTCATTTTGCTTTGTTTTAAATAAATGGCAGTCCCTTGTCTTATTCAGAATATAAAATTCAGTCTGAAAGACATCTTACAGATTTTTACTTCAGGTTTTGTGCGAGGTATTTATTGTACAGCCTAACTTAATAAATGTTATTTGTATATGCATTCAAGTTGTACTTGTCATCAGTTTGGGGGAATCCTTCTTATGCTCAAAGCTATGTCTCCTCTATCAGGTTCCTGTCCACTGAGCCACACTGCCCGCCAGACCACAAACTCAGATCAGACTTTAAAACCCTGCTCAGCCACTTATCACCTGTGAAACCTTTAGCAAATTAATTAACTTTTTTATGCCTCATCTATAAAGTAGGAATAGAAATGGTACCACCTCATAGATAATATGGAGGAGTTTCTGAGCCAATACATATAAAGCATTTAGCACAGTACCTGCTATGAGTAAGCATTTAGAAAATATTAGAATAGAGAAAGAATCTCACATATGGAGGTCTCATAATGAATTAAACATTAGCACCTTTTTAAAAAATCAAGTTTTTCTTTTTTAATGTCTACATATTGAAAAATGTAAACTTAGTAAATACTACTTGTTTTAAGACTATGGAAGAGGACCGTTTCATGGATGGTAAGAAGTTGCTAAAGGCATCATGCCAGACATGATTTTAACTAAAATTAAGAATATATGATATAATTAAATATTTCCATGATAAAGGGATTACATCCAGATGTTTAAAATCTACTTAGAATGGCATCAGTAATAATAATGGTTGCCTTTTTTCTGCTACAAGTAATGAATACCTGCTACATAGATCTAGAATGACTAAAGGTGATGTCTCTTTTTTCCCCCCTACCCTTTTTAGTTTTAGAACTTTAGCAGACTAAGGCTAAAGAAATACCACAATCAAATGATCCCAACATAATCATGTCTGGCAAGGCCTGTGGTATTGGGGAATAAACATGAGCTTTGGAATCACACACACTTGGGTTTAAATTCTGGCTCTGCTACTTCTACCCTAACAAAAGCCCAAAATCTTACTGAGCCTAAGTTTTCCTATTTATAAAATAGAAAAGCTGGGCACAGTGGTGTGCACCTACAGTCACAGCTACTCAGGGGCCAAGGCAGGAGGATCACTTGAGCCAAAGAGTTTAAGTCTGTAGTATGCTATGATCACACCTGTGAATAGCCACTGCACTCCAGCCTGGGCAATATAGGGAGACCCCATCGCTTAAAAAAAAAAAAGAATAACAATAGCTAAAGTAGAAATACCTGCCTTGTGAGGATTAAAGTTATTATTGTATTTGTGAAGTGCACTTTGGGAGGCTGAGGCAGGCAGATTGCCTGAGCTCAGGAGTTCAAGACCATCCTGGGCAATATGGCTAAACCCTGTCTCTACTAAAAATACAAAAAATTAGCCAGGTGTGGTGGCTCGTGCCTGTAGTCCTAGCTATGCAGGAGGCTGAGGCACAAGAATTGCTTGAACCCAGGAGGTGGAGGTTGCAGTGAGCCGAGATCGTGCCACAGCACTCCAGGCTGGGTGACAGACGAGACTATCTCAAAAAAACAGAAGCTATGTAATTTGTTATTTGGTGCCAAGATTTAGATTTCTAGCTCCCAGCCTACATCTTTGTCCTATGCTGGATGCTTCCTGCCTTCGAACATCAGACTTCAAGTTCCTCAGTTTTGGAACTCGGACTGGCTCTCCTTGCTCCTCAGCTTGCAGACAGCCTATTGTGGGACCTTGTGATCATGTAAGTTAATACTTAATAAACTCCCCTTTATATACATATATATGTATATACATATATATATGTATATACACATATATGTGTGTGTATATATATCTCCTGTCCATCTAGAGAACCCTAATACAGATGCTTACTAGTTAGTGAATTCATGTGTTTCGGTACTGTTATAAACACTTTTTGGAAGCTCACTTCTTTAACAGTTCTTCATGGTTTAACTGATTTAAAAGGTTTTTTTGTCATGTTTTCAAATACATACAACAGTAAAGAGGACAGTATAATGAAACCCATACACATCACCTATACCCAAATTATTAGATGTTGCCATACTTGCTTAACTATACCTTCCTTTTTCTCTGAAGTCATTTAACCACATTGCCAATATCACACCTCACAAAATTAATAGTAACTCTATCATCAAATGTGAAATTCATAATCTAAATGTCTCAAAAATATCTTTTTATTGTTTGCTCAAATCAGGGTCAACACAAGGTTCACACTTGACATTGAGTTGTGAATTTTTAATTATAAAAGTAATACATGCGGGCCAGGCACAGTGGCTCACACCTGTAATCCTAGCACTTTGGGAGGCTGAGGTGGGCAGATCACGAGGTCAAGAGATCAAGACCATCCTGGCCAGCATGGTGAAAGCCTGTCTCTACTAAAAATACAAAAATTAGCTGGGCGTGGTGGCGCATGCCTATAGACCCAGCTACTCGGGAGACTGAGGCAGGAAAATCGCTTGAACTCAGGAGGCGGATGTTGCAGTGAGCCGAGATTGCGCCACTGCACTCCAGCCTGGAAACAGAGCAAGACTCCATCTTGAAAAAAAAAAAAAGGAATACATGCTTATTGTAAAAAAAAAAAAAAAAAAAAAAGATTCAAAAGGTTCAGAAAGATAAATGAAAAGTGGAATTCCACCTCTTCCAATCACCCACTTTTCACATTCCACTGTTAAGTTTCTTGCATATCCTACAATTTTTTAATGCACATATAAGCATATGTCTCTTCACAAATGGGATGATACCATATATACATTCTATAATTTTTTTAGGAAAAAATGGCTTTCAGTATATCTAGATCTATCTGTAACAGCTGTGAGGTATTCCACTATATGGATGTGGCAAAATTCATTTAACTAAAACCAAACTAATAGGCATGTGTTGGTTGTTTCTACTGGGCCATTAGCAACTGTGCTATAGTAAACATCATTTTGCATAAATCTCTATACAATTGTTCAAGTACAGAGGAATAAATTTCTAGAAATAAAATTACTGGATGAAAGAAAGCATGGGCATGACCTTTATTTGGATACATATCCATCAAAAGTGGGAGAATGCCATTTTCCCCACACCCTCACCAATTCTTCACCAATCTGACAGGTGAAAAGAGGGGGCCCCAACTACCTTTTAGAGTTTCTCTGTCCAGCAGTTTCCAGTGACTGTACATGCACATGGAAAAGTCCCATTAGAAATAGTTGACCCAACACAGTTGCAATTAAATATTTGAGCTAAGTACATACTAGCAAAGTACTAAAATCCAGAAAAACTCAAGCTTCATAAAACCTCAAATTTCAAATCAGGGATGCTAAAATCCACATAGCTCACTTGTGTGGGCCTGGCCTAAACAGACCCCTCAAAGGAACTTTGGAGGGAAATTGTTTCTCTAGGTAAGGAATAACAGCATAAAGGGAAAAAAATTAAAATTGATAGATACAGGATTCTTTCTAGATCTGCCCTGTCCAATATAAATGCCACTAACCACATGTGGCTATTAAACACTTAAAATGTGGCTAGTGCAACTGCAGAACTGAATTTCTAATTTTATTTGATTTTAATACAGGTAAAAGTGGATACTTCAGTTATTGGAAAACTGTGAGTTATATTTCAAACAACTTGAGTATGTAAATACATTTTTCCACAGTAAGTTTTAAGAAATCTAACTACAGATTAAGTACGTCTGATGAAAACCTAGCATCTGAATTGACAAGATTTTTTGTGTGTGTGGGGTGGGGGGTGGGGACAAAGTTTTGCTCTGCCACCCAGGCTGGAGTGCAGTAGTGTGATCTCAGCTCACTGCAACCCCTGCCTCCTGTTTAAGTGATTCTTGTGCCTTAGCCTCCCAAGTAGCTGGGATTACAGGTATGCACTACCATGCCCAGCTAATTTTTGTATTTTTAGAGATGGGGTTTTACCATGTTGGCCAGGCTGGTCTCGAACTCCTGGCCTCAAGCAATCTGAACACCTTGGCCTCCCAAGTGCTGGGATTACAGATGTGAGCCACCACGCCCAGCCTTGACATGTGTTTTTAAGTGTAAAGTATACCAGATTTTGGAGACTTAGTATGAGAAAAAGAATAAAAATCTCTTTTTTTTGAGACAGAGTTTTGCTCTTATTGCCCAGGCTGGAGTTCAATGGCGGATTCTTGGCTCACTGCAACCTCCACCTCCTGGATTCAAGCGATTCTCTGGCCCTAGCCTCCCTAGTAGCTGGTAAAATATCTCAATTTTATCTTGATTATGTATTGAAATATTTTTGATACACTAACATATAAATTATTAAAATTGATTTTCAATGAGTTTTGTTAGAGAAGCTACTAGAAATGTTTTAATTATGTATATAGCCTGTACTATATTTTTATTGGGCAGTGCTGCTCTAGATATGGTAATTAACTACCTTTTTCTGGGGAGATGATTCATAACATTCTCCAGAATCTTAAGTCCAAAGGAGGGTATGAACCACAATAGAACTACAAAATACACTCTCTAGCTCCTTCTGGAGGCTGCCCTCAAAAAACCTTTTAAGGAAAGATAACTGACATTTAAAAAATAAGACATTTTACAAAATCACTGTCACTGTCTCATAAAAGGACAACTTCCAGCAGCTGTGTCTTCTGATGTTCATTCTTCAGCTGACCAACTTGGAGCAGGCCTAGACTTGCTGATACTGAAACTGTTCCCAACGAGGGTTAGCCTTCCAGAGGAAACTTAACAACCTGAGAACTGCAGCAGCAGGATAACCTCTCCACCTGCCTACCTCTCCATCAAAAAAGAAGAGCCTCTGTTTTGGAACAAAAATCCTGAAAGGTGGTGAAACTGTTGCATGTCTAATT